AGAAAATATCTATAAATTAGATACAAAGGAGAAAAGCTATTATTTAGTTATATTGATATAGTGAAATCTACCATGATGTGTGACTTAAAAGGAATGATAATATTATGAGTTTTGTGTTTAGTAAAATGAAAAACTCACTATGATAGTTAAGAAAGTATTTTAAATTAACTAGCCTAAGTTCTTTCACGTACTCAATTGATAACATAAACTTTGAGAGTAAACTTCTGGTGAATGTATTCTCAAGTCAACATAAACAATGTACTGAATTGGTTTAGTTTAGAAAAGGGCGTAAGAAAATGAAAAACAGCGCACATAAGTTGTGACTAAAGAACAAAAAGCAAACATGCATGCACCAGCCGGGAATCGAACCCGGGTCTGTACCGTGGCAGGGTACTATTCTACCACTAGACCACTGGTGCTGATTATTTAGAAGTTAGAATTACGATTTTATATTAATTACTTCATTCATTCATTTATCATTCCTATATTAATTTGCTTTCCAATATATTATTCATCTGTTCATTAAAAATATAATTTTAGGCTTAAGAAATATAGGAATGTAATTTCTAAAGGCTACTATAAAAAAAATTCATTCATCATTGTTTGTACTATAAAGATCCATCACTAAAAATATTAAAGAACATTTTTCCTTGGGTTTTATATTTTATTTTTTAATTAATTTATTTTTTATTTATATTTTTTTAAAATTTTTATATTTTAAATTTTTTTTTATTAAATTAATAAAAAATATATATATATATATATATATTTTTTATTACTATGTATGTAAATCAACTAATAAGAAATTATTTTAACTTAACCTATAGTCTTAACCTTGAATCTCATAAATATAGCCTATATTAAATACTCAAAAGGGAAGTTTTGCTATTCATAGTTATTTACTTGCCTCCATTAAAAAATTCATGTGATTTAAAAAAAAATACAAAATAATTTTTAGAATACAATATAAATAAGTTTTATTAAAAAAATAATTTTTTATTAGATAAATACTCAGCATAACAAATAATTGTTTAATATTATTTTTTTAATTTTTCATTCGATTTAATCTAGATCTGATCTGGGTCGCACATCTGAATGTGGTAGATGAATCTACCACTAGTGATTTTTTTATACACAAGGATTTGATCTGAAATTTTACTTAAGCGATATCGAACTACTTGTCACTTAACTAACTTTCATTAATTAATAATACAATAGTATAAAATTAATAATATTATTTATAATACAATAAAAAATTAATAATATAAAATTTAATAAACTCATACATTGTTTATAATACAAAATCTAGTAATAATTAAATTATGAATTTTTTTTTACGATCAATTTAATAATATTTCTTTCAAGTTATTTATTTATAAAAGTTAATAAAAAATTGGCAACAATGGTATAATGATATAGTAGACAATCACGTGACTACCAAACCATCAAAACTATATCTACATATATTATAAAAGCATAATTAGAGTATAAATATTACAAATAAAAACTAAACATATATTAGTGATCAACAAAAATTACGTTGATAGATACAAGATTAGTTCAAATAACTATCACGTTGTGTGTTTTATACATAGATGATGAATTAGTGGATAATTTGGAAGGAATTTAAACTTGAAAAGATAGAAAATAAGACCTAGTAGAGTCCATTGAGTGCTGGTAAGGTTACCCATAACTGTGATGAAGCCTAAAAAAATAAAATCAACACTAAAGTCCAAAGAGGTCCATTTACAGGCCATGGAATCCACCATAGTTGTGGATCATGTTACTTAGTTAGAATTTAAGTTTTTTTTTAAGGTTTAGAGAGATCCATTGACAAGTAGTAGAGTTCACCATAGTTGTGGACCAGCCTCACAGTAACGCAACTTTTGTTTTTATCAACTTTTTAAGTGTTTTAAAAGAGTTTTTAAGACTAAGTATACATAGAAAAGAGAGTACAAAATAGGGGCTATGTTTTTAGACATTTTTTGAGACAAAAGCTAGAGAGAAGAATTAAAGAGCAACCCAAAAAGATGAAAGCAACAATAAAGGCTTTTTGGGATAGGATTATGAAAAGATTGCAATAACAACATACTAAAAAAATTACTGTTAGATTTCTTTCTTATTTTTACTCTTATCTTCTTTTGTTCTTGTCTTTTTTAATTACATCTAAGTTTATTTTCTTAGTTTGTAATTCAATAACAAATGAGTGATTTTTTTACTCTATAGTTTATGAGTAACTCAAATTAGGATTGATGATATTGTAAAGAATTCTTAATGATCTTTTGATGTCTTGATTCAATTTTTAGTATTTTTAATGCTTGTGAATATATTGAGCTCCTCATTTACATAAATTCATATATTAAGGGAAGAACTAAGAAGTAAACCTTATCATTGAAAATTTCAAAATTAAATAAGATTTTAGACCATAAATTTTTAAAAGAATTAACACTAAAGAATTTAATGTATTTAACTACTATGAAAGTAAAAGTTAATATAATTAAATAGGTTATTGTATTAAGGAAAAGAATCACCTAAAAGTAATTTGTTTATAAGATCATTCAAGAATCAGCAAAATATTTAATTTAGTTAACTTTGTCAATTTTAATTTATAACTAAACTAATTATTAAAAAGATGTTAAAAGTTGAATTCATAAATTTGAAATAATCATTTTCTTGGAAGTTGAATTCCCCCGTAGATTCATGGAAGAATCGAGGGTTCAGTGGAGTCAGCATTTTCTTATGCTTTTTGCCCATTACGTTCACCCTCTTAATTGAGTGATGTTTTGTAGAAAATGGAAGGACAACAGTGCCAAATCTGCTTAAGGAAGCAATATTATTGACAATAAGTTTCACCCTTTCAAAAAAGTTAAGTATGATGCCTCCTACACTTAAAAGGAAAGGGGAAAAACTTAAAATATTTTTAAAAAATGTTACTATTTATTTAATATTTTCCTTTTTTCTTTCTTATTTTATCACGAAAAATAATGTACCAATACTGTGGAATAGGTATAGAAAAATGAGATAAAAATAGAAAATATAATAAACATTATCATAAAAAGTGAAAAGAAATTAAAAAATATAGAAAGTATATATATATATATAGGAAGTATTTTCTTGTATCAATATAATTCTAAAATTTTTTTAATCTTATTTGAGTCTTTTATTTAATTTAAATCTAACGGATTATAATTTATTATTTTAATAACTATTAAATTTAAATTAAATAAAAAATTAAAATTAAGTGTAAGAGTTTTTAGACTTATACAGATATAAGAAAATCCTGCTGAAAAAATAAAAATAAAATATATATATATATATATATATATTATTTTTCTTATTCTTTTATCGATATTTTAAAGGAAAAGATAATGCACATAACTTGGACTAACTGGGACGACCACCGATTTGGTTCCTTGATCTTGAAAAGCGTAATTTCAAAGCACACCCCAAATCATTTTGCATGCTTGTACCAAGTTTCAAAGAAACCCAAAAAAGAAAAACCAGAAAATTAATAATAACAGATACTCAATGCTCCTAATCTGGGTGCTTCAACGCTAACAATCCCATAGATTGGTCACACCATATATATTTTTTTAAAATTTTAGGGTAATATTGTTTTATTAATATTTATATTCTTAAATATAGGCTTATTTTTATGGTATATATTTTTTTAGAATTCAATATTTAAATTGATGATAAGTTCACAAACCTGGTTCAATTTCATTTCCTTTACAATCTTATATGAGTTCAATTGAGATGTGCATTAAGTTTTAAAAAAATTCAAAACATGACACAATAATGCACATTTATTCCTAGGGAATCAATCACTCTAAACCAACTGAGTGCCAACTCATGAGGGTATCAAGAAACGAAACAAACAATTAATATAATAATCAAATCCGTGCAAGAATGAGATTACAAGGGTTCAAATTGGAAACCTGAACATTTAACAAAACATAAGAAAAAAGGAATCAAGACGAGAAGAGTAGTTAAAGATCCATGCTATCACAAATTTTGAAGAAAAAATCTCTTACTTCTACAAGGTCTCAAGCTTAAAATTGGAAAAAAAATAATAAAAATCTCTTGATTCTTGCTTAGAAAAATGATTTTCGCAGACAAAAAAAAATCAACTACGACATAAATTTATTGTTGTGTACATTCTAATGAAAGGTCATGTTCCTTCGCGAGCAAATCCTATAGGGCACAATGGATTCCTAACAAATTACAAGATTTTGAGAAAAATTTTAAAAATAAAAGTAAAAATATAAACTAATGTATATGATAGTGAATATTCCCTAAAATTTTTATAATTTCTAAAGAAAATGCATAAGATCAAGCTTAATCACCCTCTAAATCTATTTTAAATTAGATTTATCATACATGTCATCTAATAGCATCTTAATCGGGTGAAAATTGAGTCAATTAACCAGACTGATCAAGGAATAGTTTTATTTTTATGAATATTAAAATATTCAAATAATGTTATGAAAATATAGTAGTATAACATTATTCTTTCTTCAATACCTAAAGACAACCATATCATATCCATCATCACCACGGTCACGAGGGGAGGCAAAAGCATTATAGTTGTCTACGAATTGGCCACTTAAATACCAACAAATTAAAAAAAGCTATTATCTTGAAATTTTTTATACTTTTTGATTTGATTAAAGTGCTTATTTGTTAACATGATTGGATTGGCATTAATTATTACCGAATCAGAGTTAACATTTAACACTAAAAAATCACATTTTCTAAACTCGAGAATTCATGCAACGGAGTTTGAAATGTTTAATCAAACAAGCTAGCGAATGATCAGAATCGATTTACTCGAATTCGAATGCATCACAAATGAAGTTAGACAATTGTGATTAAATTTTGCTTTCTAAAAAAGGAAATTCCCACTATACAAACAGCAAAACAATCCATTCCTGATTCAATTCAATAATATCATTAAATATAGTTATTATAAAATAAAATATACCAGATGTCAAACAATGAGGCTTGGTAGCACCATTTTTCCACGGCATAATGAGTGAGGTACACCAGTGTCTGAAGGGGCAAAAATTGTGCAGACTAGGCTATCACAATTTTCCATGTTTCTTTTCTTAATTTTTATTCACCAATGAGGTAATTTTCTTGCGTATAAACATTCAATGAAAATTTCCTCTGAGATCATCATCTTCGATTGGAAAAAAAAAATTTGTTCCACTTGAAAATTGCGATCCTGGATTTTTCCCAGTCTCTGATTTCAGAAAACCCTACCGGGCCAATTAGAAAACCCTAGATTCATCCCCCATTTTTGGAAGAAAGGGAGAGTTTTTCTCGGGGCCCATTTTCTGATTTCAGTGTAATACAACTGGGTTTCAGTTGATTTTTCAGGAAGCACAAGTTCCATTTGGTTCCGCTCTTTTTGTTAATTTGGGGCGGTGAATACCCAGAAAGAGAAATCAATATTGTTTTATTGTTATTGATTTTGTTTCTCTGCCATTGTTGAGTTGGGACTGGGATTGGTGAAGTGGAATGTGCGATCTAATAGAAGGGTGAGGAATGAGAGGGGCATAAATGTCTGGTCAAGTGGGTATTGGAATTCGTTCTGGAAGTTATGGGTCTTTGGATAAACATATACAGAACGGAACTGCACGCAAGCCTTCAAAGATGCTTAAGGAGAAGGAAAAGGAGAGGTTGTTCCTTTGGATCTGCAAGTTTGCTGGCCGCAAGAAGGTCGGAATGCTCTTCCTCTGTCTAATCTCTGCTGCAGTTTTCATCTGGGTTTTATATGTTGGAAAAGGTTCTTCTATTTCTCTTTCTTTTTTTTTCCCCTTCATTTATTTATTTATGGTTATTGCTGTAAATTGTAATTATGTGATTGTAATGTCATTACTGCTATTTTAAAGTATTGCATTGCAATTTGAGTTTTTAGAGTTGTTTATTTGAATGGGAATATGACATTGCTATATAGTTGTTTTGTTTGGCTCTGCTGGGTTTACTAGAATATGTTGTCAGTTGTGATTTACACATTTTATTTGATTTATAGTTTCTATCTTAATTAGGACGTAGCATGAGGATTTTGGTATGGCTTGCTTTCAGGTGAAGATTCTCAGGAAGGAAACACTGTGAGCATTAGTGTTAATGAAAGTCTCTCTATAAGCGATTCTCCATCTGAGATCTCTACTACAAATGCCATTGGCTTGACTACAAATTTTGCATTACCCCCTCCAGCCCCTAGCTATTTTTTGGGCTACCATCTTCCTCAAGGGCATCCCTGTAATAGCTTCACACTCCCTCCCCCGCCGGCTGATAAAAAGCGAACTGGGCCACGTCGTAAGTTTTAGTTTACTATTTTTCTGCCTAAGATATCTTGTACACTATTTGGTACTTAATAATTTGCAATAGTTCCGGTCATCTCTGCATATATCAGTTAGTTCTTCAAAGTTTTGTGGTTCAGGACTGTTTGGTGTTTCTCCTGAATATACTGGCTTGTTTATGTTTTAGCATGCCCAGTATGTTACCTTCCTGTGGAAGAAGCCATTGGACTGATGCCAACTTTTCCCTCACCTTCACCGATCATTAAGAATTTAACATATATCTATGAAGAAAATTTAAGTAGAGATGGAGAATTTGGTGGTTCGGACTTTGGTGGATATCCTACTTTGACGCAGCGAAATGATTCTTTTGATATACAAGAGTCAATGAGCGTGCACTGTGGGTATGTTTTGCTTTTTGTTGGATGTTTCCCTTACTTATAACTATACCCACCAAGGAATGTTCTTTGTGGTTTGAATTGTCTGTGCTATAGTAACGTGACATTCTTCTACCTTTTTACTGATATGAATCTATTCTGTCTTCAATGCTGAATGTGTACACCTATCAGATTTGTAAGAGGAATTAAACCTGGCCACAACACAGGATTTGACATTGATGAAGCTGACCTTCTTGAAATGGAACAGTGTAATGGAGTGGTTGTTGCGTCAGCCATATTTGGTCTGTATCATGTGATTTCTGCCTTTAGTTATTTGTTTAAGCTTGTAATTGATTGTAAATCAAATACATTGTTCAGGAAACTTTGATGAGATAAATGAGCCAAAAAATGTAAGTGATCATTCGAGGACGACTGTATGCTTCCTGATGTTTGTAGATGAAGACACAGAAAAGTATTTGACTAGTTCTGGCAAACTGGGAATCAGCAAGAAGATTGGCTTGTGGAGAATTATTGTTGCTCGTAATCTTCCTTACACAGATGCAAGACGTACAGGAAAGGTCAGAAATACATATTTGTCTGACACTGTCTTGACTTTGAAATAAAAATTCACGTGTTAGCCATTTTTGTTACTGAATCACTTTCTAAATAGCTAGCTGTTTTTATGATCTGTTCATTGCTGTGGGAAATTAATATTGTTGGCTGTGGTTTCCTCATTTTATAATATTTCTTGTAACGGTTAGTATCCACTCTGAGTTATTCTTAATACATGGAAAGGGAAGGGGGAAATGCTTAGACCTCCTAGTATTGGCTAGATACTACCTGTGAAAATTAAAAAAAATTGCTTAGGCACTGATGTGTTTTCCTAGTACATAAAGTAGTAATTTGGTGTATCTTGTCCACAGATTCCAAAGCTTCTGTTGCATAGATTGGTTCCTAATGCTCGCTATTCGATATGGCTTGATGGAAAGCTTGAACTTGTTGTGGATCCATATCAAATTCTTGAAAGGTGCATTCTGATGAATCTTTGATACTATTTATAATATACCTATTCATTCTATATGTGAAAGTTGAGTAAATATTCTAATTTCTGTCTGATCATTAGTTTCTTACATTGTTTGGCATGCGGTTCACTGTTCTATCCACTTCTGTTTGAGATAGATATGATATCCCTCGTGTTTAGAATTAATGCTGGTTAGATGTTTTCAAACTGGATCCAATGTTGCACTGGATGATGTAAGAGTTTGATATTCGTCAGTATGTGTCTCTTGCTTTAACTAGAGTAGTTATTCATGCAACTTTTGTTGTGTCAATTGATCTATAAGTCTATATTGTATTGTATATGCTAAACTTCTCTTGACAACTAGTATATGATTCATCTTTCAAGATATAAGGAGCAACTTGCACACATATCCTCATATTACTTGCTTGCTGTTTCATAAATATCTCTCTCTACAGTTATTTTATAACATGGAAAATCTTGGAAGTTCAAGTATGTAATTTGTCTCTGGCCCAAGGTGACATTTTAATCTATTTAGATAATAGATGGGGCGTTGAGTGTAGTTACAAGTTTTAGAAGAAAACAATTTAATGGTCTTACCAAAGAGCTTTCTTCCTTAAGATATGTTTGCCTGAACTCAAGATGTGGATTTTCTCTTATTGTATGTTGCTGACTGGCTTGTTAACCAATGATAAAATTGCTAGTTCAGACCATTGTAGTGGAAAGTGAGGATAACTTATTCATCAACTAGATTGAATTCTACTCTAGTCCCACTTTCAATTAATCCCCCGGGCACTGTAATGATGGAGAAAAATCATGAAGGTTGGTTTAACTTAAGAACCGTACAATGCAAGCCCTATAGTCCATATCATTCAGGACTCAACATTTTCAGTAGCATGGACCTTGGCATACCCGATGCACCAATCCAATTTCTGTGCACTTTCTTTTTAATGAGAAAGAACTCAAGCAGTCGGGAAACAAAAATGGAGAATAAGTCCTCAATGAATAACCAAATGGGAAATAAAAATGAAAGAAACAGTAGCTCGATAAAGCTCCTAAATAAATCATGTAAGTCATTTTCTGTCTTCCCAAAGTTCTCAACAAGTCTGCATGGCATGCCTGCTTACAGGTCCCAAAATACCATCTATGACTGCTCAGTTTAGAATTGATTTTGGGCTACAAAGGTATGGTAACATAGAGAGTAGAAGCTCATGATTACTGGCTAGAAAATCAATATATGTTGCAGATAAGCTTGGATCAGAAGTCTTGATCTCTGCCTCTGCTTATAAATTAAGATATTTGTTGTCATTGATGTGTAGGTATTTCTTTAAATTGGTCTTACACCATCATTAGTACTTATCAAAGGCTGGCATAAATGCAATCCTCAGTTATGGAAAAGCTCCTCCAAAGTGAATTTGTCTCAAAAGGACACAAGTAATGGTATATCCACTCTTGCTTCAATTTAAAATACATTCTGACCTTAGCTTACCATAATTCAATGGTGGATATACCCTTCTTTGTGCACTTTAAAGATAAGTTTCCTTAAGAGGAGATAATCACCTTTAATGCTTTACCTCTTGACATATTTTATATGCTTATAGCATTAATATTTCATGTATGTAATGGTGGATGTACCCTTCTTTGTGCACTTTAAAGTTAAGCTACCATATGAGGAGTCTTATCCATCATTAATCACCTTTGATGCCTTACTTCTAGGACTGATTTTATAGGGTTATAGCATTAATATTCACTTATATATATAAGTACTAGAATCTTGTCAAATGGCTACCTCAGCTTATAGGACTATTGTTTAGAAGCTGTGTAATTGTAATGTAACAGCTTCGATGCTTTCACTTTTCCTTTGTTGATGCTTACTGCACAATCTTGCTGGTTTTGCAATTGATTTTGTTTGATCCTTCTCTTCCTTCAGCTCTATGGGGAGTTTATGTTCCATTTTGGGAGGTTATCTAAATTCTAAGGTTTAACAATTTGTTTGTGAATGACCATGATACTGATAATGTATTTTTTTTCCATGAAAATCAAGCTTGAGTGTTTGCTGGATTTTTATATATGTTGATCTGGACCGAAAATGTTATCAATTTGGGATCATATCTCATACCTATGCTCTTTCTTTTTCTAAGATACTAGTGTATTAATCCATACGATGTACTGGTATGATAATTGTGAAATAATAACATTATTCTTTTCTTCATCACAATATTAATGATATATAGGTTTATCCAGGTTAATAATTAAAATAAATGTTAGCTAAATGAATTACATAATTCACATAATTTTATCAAGTCAAAAATATTTATAAAGAAGTTAATTAAAATATTTTTATTGTAGAATTAAGATATTGTCTTGCTATCACTTCTGATTTGGCCCCTTACTCTTCACCCTTACTAAGGTTTTTGTGGAGGAAGAATGCAACTTTTGCAATATCAAAGCATTATAGACGTTTTGATGTATTTGTTGAGGCTGAGGCAAATAAAGCTGCTGGAAAGTATGATAATGCCTCTATTGACTTTCAGATTGAGTTTTACAAGAAAGAGGGATTGACCCCATATACAGAGGCCAAGCTTCCTCTGATAAGTGGTAGGTGAAAGTGCTTTCCTGTGTTTATCTGTGACGAGATGCACCTGTTGTGATTTCTTTTTTAGCCTCTACGCTAAATTTTTATCAAACATCATGCTTGAGTTGCAGATGTTCCTGAAGGGTGCGTGATAGTACGAGAGCACGTTCTTATTAGCAACCTCTTCACTTGTCTTTGGTTCAATGAAGTTGACCGATTTACTTCAAGGGACCAGATTAGTTTCTCAACAGTCAGGGACAAAATTTTGTCAAGGGTAGATTTTCGTTTTAACATGTTCTTGGACTGTGAAAGACGCAACTTTGTTGTTCAGGTAATTATTTTATCTTGTTTTGATATCTGACGAGAATAAACTTTTGATAAATTGCTTTGATTTCTGGAATGTACATGCTGATTCTGGACAATTAAACATTAGGACATGACCAATTCCATCATTAGTGTTAGAATTGTATTTGTTTTAGTTCACAACTTCAATTATTTGTGTATGAAAAGTTTACTACAACGACCTTGGTTGAGGTTATTGCTGAAAACCTCGTCGTATTTCAATGGTTCCTCCTGTTTCTTTTAGTCTCTATGATTTCATGGTCCCTTTTCTCTTCTAACTTTTTGGTTTGGTGTTTCCAGAAATACCACAGGGATCTGTTGCTGCGACTGACTCCGCCGATGGTCAATGCTGACATTTCTCCACCACCTCCATCTCCCCCTCCTCCATTGCCTCTGCTGGAAACATCACCTGAAAAGGTTGTAACCTCATCCATCAGAAAAGGCCCTGGAAGGCGTGGAAGAGATAGAAGATCTGGTTCTAGGCGCCACCGCAAAGTTGTTGCTGGAAGTAGGGAGATGGAACCAAGTTGAAAGTTTTGTTGGGGTGATTATACTATCATTAATTTTTTAAAATTCCACCTACACAATATCATTCGTTGCAGAGCTGGAGGGAAAATGTGCAAGATGAGTGTTGTATTGTTCCCACATAGAGGCTCTCATTCTTTTTACTTCGTTCAATTGTCAATTTTTGTTAATTTTTTGCTGTATATATAGTAAAATTTTCAATAATTATCATATGGGTTGCCACAAAATTCCTCACGTGGTAACCCGTTTTGCTTTCCACTATCATAGAAAAAGTGTACTTCATCTGTTATACATGAAAGATATATTCATGACTTGTTCCTCTTAGTTTGTGTTGATGATTTATTTTATATCTCATCAAGGCTGGTGCTGAATTTAGGAACATAGTAATGGAAAGGGTTCTATATTTATCTTTATATTCGTATTTTTAACAATGTCTTTGGATTCATACCTATGTAGGTAATAATTTTTAATTACAAACCATCTATAATAAACAATAATTGAAACAAATAAGTCTAGTATAATAAATTTATGAAAATTACTACTTTATAAATTTATAGGTTTAATATTTGTATTCTTCCAGACAAGTCAAAAAATATATATTGATAATTGATTATATCATAAAATTGTATTCATGTGAAATTTTATAAATTCAATTCATAACACTAAACACATTGTTTATACATTTTATACATTAAATTAATTTGTCATTTTATACATCTTAGTTATTCAACATTATTTATATACTTCTTTATGTTATTTACTAATATTAAGGATTGATCATGTTTTATTTGATTGAAAAATAATAAGAAAAATAATCATATTTATGTTATATAATCTTTACATTTTTTTAAATGTATTGATAAATAAGTGAACACATGGATAAATTGATGATGGTTGACAGAGAAATGGACTTAATTGTTATTTACTTATTTATCATTACAAGAAAAAATGGTTGGTAAAAATATATATTTTTCTCACTTCTTTGAACGAAATAAGAAATCATCTATCCACTCTGTAGTAGGGGAGTGAAGCAAAGAACGATGACAACAGCGCTGAGAAATGCATTCTTCACGCTCACCCTTCAAATACCTCATCGTTCCCTCTCTCTCGTACACACTCACACTCCTTCTCTCCTCTTTTTCCGAAACCCTCTTTCCCATTCAACCCTAGCTTCCAAAACCACCAACCCTCCTTCTCCTTCTCCTGCTCCTTCTTTCGAAACCGAGCTCTTCGTTCCTCCGGGCGTTGAACCCGGTGAGGTGAATGACTCCATGATCCTACCAGGATCCAACATCGTCGTCGGACCCTACGCCGGCGATTCTCGCATCAAGGAAGTAGCGTTCGTGAAGAGCAGTGGTCGCGCCAAGGATTGCCCCGCCGATGACCGACCCGAATTCGCCATTCTGGGTCGATCCAATGTGGGCAAATCTTCCCTCATCAATTCCCTTGTTCGCAAGAAAGAAATTGCACTCACTTCTAAGAAACCAGGTCTTTTTCTTTTTCATTTTTTATTTGAACTTCTAAGAAACCTTGTGTAATGTGTTTTTGGTGCTTTCAGGGAAGACGCAGCTTATTAATCACTTCTTGGTTAACAAAAGCTGGTACCTTGTGGACTTGCCTGGTTATGGGTCAGTTATTCACTCACTTACAACTAGCCTGCTTTATGTTTCTATGCTTCTGTCAAGGTTTCTATGTGTTTAGGTGAGTGAGCTTTTGCAAACTTTATTTTTAAATTTAGATTAAGTTAGAATTTGTAAAATTGGTTTTTGATAAAAGCGAGTTTAGAGTGAAGTGACTTGTGTTCGGAAACTTTAGCCTTGAAAGTAAGTTTGCTGTATGATTTTAGGGTATGTTGGGGGCCGGGGCCGGGGTGGTTTGGAGGGGAACGGAGGGAAGGACATATTTTGTAATTTTAAATTAAAAGAATTGTATATTATTTATGATGATAAGTGCATGATTAATACATTGAATTTATGACAATATATCATTTTATATATTTTATTTTGAAAAATATTAATTTTAAATATATTTATTTAAAATACCAAATTTGTCTTCCCCTCCCGTTCCCAAACAACCCCTTGGTGGGGAGTTTTCAAGTTAGTACAAAAGCTACTTGCTTTTGCTTTTAGACAAACGTGCTTTTAGGAGCAAACTTAAATTTAGTGACATTCAGCCGCGCATGATATTTTGTTGCAAAATCCCCATGTTTGAATGTCTCAATCTCAAATCTAAACATAGCATTAGTGATTCAACTGCTATGGGGGCAAATCAACAATATTACAGAATATGAACTATATGTAATGTAATTTTTATTGAATTTTGAAATTGTGTCTTGTAAATAGATCATATTGGAGGTCATCAAATTCCTTATTTGCTTGATGAAGCTGATTGGTGCAGGATGTAGGCATCCTCCTTGGTTTTCAAGTTTCTTGTGGTGTTTAATGATAGTAATAATTAAATTTCCTTTTAAAGCTCTCAGTAGACAGTAGCAATGTTGTTTATAACTTGTATATTCCAATTGCCAGGCTTTATCTCTGTTTTCTTCAATGGTTTCTCCCTGTATTTCCACCCTCTCCCCTGCTTGATTAGAGAGGATTTAGGTGTAGTGGTTAGTGGTGTTACTGTTTGACCAATCATATGAAAAACTGTTTCTTATGCAGCTTTGCTAAAGCACCTGATGCTGCTAAAACTGATTGGTCCTCATTCACAAAAGGGTACTTTTTGAACAGAAATTCTCTGGTGGCTGTCTTGCTTCTCATTGACGCAAGTGTTCCACCACAAAAGATTGACTTGGATTGTGCAAATTGGCTTGGACGCAACAATGTATAATTTTATTTTATTTTATTTTCATATCTAGTCCCTAAATTAATGTTCTTAAGGTACTGAAACATGTCTTAATTAAAATTAATGTGAATTGCAGATACCAATCACTTTTGTTTTCACAAAGTGTGATAAAATGAAGGTGGCAAAGGGTAAACGACCTGATGAGAACATAAGGGATTTTCAAGAGTTAATCAGACAAAACTACAAGCAACATCCCCCATGGATTATGACCAGCAGTGTCACTGGACTGGGCAGAGATGGACTTCTCTTGCATATGTCTCAATTAAGAAACTACTGGGATCAGTAGGAGAAAAGCTCAGAACTGAGCAAGATGTGTCTATCTATGAAAAGAACATGCCTTGCAGGAGCAAATTTGAAATTACAACAGATGCAACTGTATAGAAGAATCGTATGAAAAAGCTATGGGTCGGGACGGCCCATAAAATTTCAGCTGGATCTTTCATCAGGGTCTTTGTTCTCCTTGAACTTCAACCAGATATATAACTTATCTTACATGAGAATCAAGTTTGAGTGGTTTATGGATGCTGAATTTCCATATACTGACCGAGTGTTAGGACTAACGGTCATGTTTTATGCCCATGGGTGTAAAACAACATCACAGGAAATGTCGTATGCTTTCAACAGGGATATGGTTTTTTGCAGGCTTTATTTATCGTGTGGTTGCCCGAATGCATGTTTTGGCATACCATCGCACATCGCACATCGCTTTGGCTTTTATTTTAGATTTTCAGGAGCAAAAATGCATCTTTTGCAATACTTCAACATTTTAGATCCTTTGATGTAATTTTTGAGGATGAGATAAATAATGCTGCTGGAAGTGTCATTATTCCTTTATTGGGTCTCAGATTTAGCTTTATAAGAGTGCATATGTTTGTTTCACGTCCCGTTCTTTTTAGATTATTACCATTTCAGTTTGTCCGAACGTTTTGGTACTGCTACTTGCGCAGGAAGTGTTCTCCGTTGTTATATCTCTTTCTCCCACAATTTACTCTCTACTTTTAAATATCAGGTGGGTCATGTCCCACTTGTTTTATTCCTCAGTGTATGGTTTAGAACCTTGCAAAGTACCTATAATTGTGACAATAGTGGTTAATTCGTGAATTGAGTTTAGACACCCCCTTCACATTCATAGAGGTCATAATAAGCCTTTCCTAGAAAGACAAGGGAAAAGATTGGTATATTCTTAAAAACTTAAGACGTCGTAGGACCAGAAGTGTGTACTTTTTAAAAACAAAGTGATTTATGCTAAAAGCTATATTTTGAGAACTAAAATTTGTATATTTCATGGATGTTACGAAACACGTGTTAAAGGTAAGTTGGCAGTCTGTTTTACACATCAACACTTTATATCTATGATTTTGACTTGTCAATAATTAAGATACATCCTTGATAACAGCATAGATCAAGTGTTCACTTATAAAAAACAAAGGGCACAAACTAGAATCCAAGTTCTGGAGTTACTTAAACTAAATAGTAATGTATTCATAGGAATGCCTACTTTTTAATACACGTTCGATTCCATTTTCGTTTGTGTTTACAGAGGACTGAATATGGAATCCATTTCCATTCAGCTAATGTATTAGGCTGTAACACTATTTGGCACCCCTCTTCCTGTTGCCCCACATCCTGAGCTTGGTATAAGCAGCTCATATGGTGAAACCCCAACACCACATCTGTTTCTAAGATTTGGATCAGCATTTCTTTTCTCAATCTCGATCTCAATATTTGTTATCTCCATTGAAAACTGACTGAATGCATCAATGATCTCGGGTTCTCCTAACCAGGAGGACACATCATTTCTGTCTCCTATATATTCCTCATCAGGTGAATGTGCAGAACCTATGTTGATCACAGCCATGAACCTTGTTGCCTGAAATAAACTTGGCAGTGCTGATAAGTAGTATCCCTGGGGATCCATGACAAAATCTGAGTACTCAAGATCACCCTTCTTGGGAATTAGTTTTCGCATTAGTGGAGGACGGATTGGAACATACCCGCCATAGGGGTATTGACCAAAGTTCAAGACAGCATGCTGTGCTGATACAAGCCAAATAACAATCGTAAGCATGGAGATGAGGTCCTCAGGGGTGGCAAGTTTTGGCCACCAGTAAGCATTTTTGTGATCAGGGTGTCCGAGACTGATGAATTCGCTGTACCAAGATTGGAGTTCATTGTCAGAAGAAATGGCATTGGAGTTTTTATAGTAATGTTTCACATAGGTCCGGACCAACTTTTCTATGCTGGACCATATGAGGAGTCCATCAGCTGCATAAGGATAGTCTTCAATAAGTAGTCTAATGCCATGCGGCTGAGTTGCATCTGGAACTGCTAAACCTCTGTAAAAGAATGAAACTATTAGATCTTATCATCAATGTAGGTACTTCGAAGAGGATAATGTTAATCGAGAGAAGCTCATAAAGGTTGTCTGATTCACATAGTTTAAGAACCGAAATAAAAGAAGTCCATTACTGCATAATCTAATTTATATGCAATATATTGAAAGAAGTTTATCAAGTATTCCATTTCATCAACATAAGTACTATAGGAGAAATATTAGGATGACCCTTGGATCCTACATAGAATTGCACTGCTTGATAGAAGTGCTCTCCAAATCCAAAAATGTTAACAATATTAAGGGGGATAGCAAAAATTTCCATAATAGATAGAATCTTATTTACCTTCTTATGAGATCAGCAGGAAGACCTTCCATATCAAACCGCCACCAATCTTTATAGGCAGCAGAACTAATTTGCATACAGTATCTTCCAGGAGTGTGGTCTGTCTCAACGGTTCCTTCGGCATTGATAAGTATCTGACGCGTTGTCGCATTTGTCTTTAGTGTGTATCGCATGTGGGGATGCAAAAGTTTGAATATAGGATGCATCACGCTCAGTTGCCGATGAGCAGCAATCATTAATGGTTCCATGCAAGCATGTATTCGTAACCTGCTCAATCATAAGAGGCCAATGTCATCATGTTCATTACTAATCTTTATATATGGCATGATTTATGTAGTCTCCAGTGTAATTTGTACACATTGTGAAAGATATCCGATACATGTTGTACAATTTTATTTTATTTTATTTTTTGGTGACTTTCCATCACTGTTAGGTTTATGTAAATGACCCTAGTTGCTTAGTTTTAGACTGCTTGCCAAAAAGATTCCCTTGTAGCTCTAGTATCTTGCCATATAATCCCCACATTGCATGGGAGAAAAATAATACAATAATTATCATGATTTCGTTACTCAGTGAAGCCAATGATCATTTTCATGGATGGAGTAGTGGCATCACTTATAAGAATAGATGCATGGATTATGGATAAGTAAATATGTTAGAATTTTAGAATATTTACATGGTTTTGATACATGATTGTATAATTAATATCATTAGGATAAGGTGTTTGATATTAATTATAAATAAGAAAAAAAAAGTTAATTCTAAAGATAACTGCTAAGTAGTTATTTCTTATGGTAACTACCAAATAGTTATGTTAGTAACTATTAAGTTGTTATGTTTTATTTTTTCTTCTTAGAAATTCCTTTAGATATATATAGAACTCATGTTCTATTATGGATGATAATGAAATTTAATTCCAACATAATCATAGAAAATACATCAAACTGAAAAATACTTGCAAAATTATTTCTTCTTTAAAACACTAACAACACAAACTAAATTTACCTTGTGTTCCTATTAAACTTAATTTATAAAGCGTGAATTATTGTTATCAATCTTCTTTGTATCTCAAAGGCAAATTTCATGGTACCCTATACTTTTATAAAGAACCAAATATTTCTTTTAAGAAAGTGTGTATTCATGCCTAGAATATCATATCGTCAAGTCTCAATTATTGTAAATATTGTTTTCCTTATTCACTTAAAAGTTCTAACAAAATAATACTATTGTTTTAGGGAAATAAAATTTCATACCAGTGGTGCACAAGAGTATGAACACCAGCATCATTAGAGCAAACATGGGCTTTGCCAAGTTGCCAGAGCCATTTGGAGGTGGCATCTATTGGTGGGGTAAGAACCTGCTTGCATGAAGTATTTGGATCTCTTGTTGGGAGAGAAAGCTGAATGGCAACGGGTTTCAGAGTTCCCATTTTGGTGAGAAAGAAAATTGTGGTGGTTGCATAAGCTTTGCGCTCATCAAGAGCATTAATCCGACCCAGGAATGGAAGGTAAAAATCATGGTAGTCCAGAATGAACAACTTATTCTCTTCCAATGCCTAAATTTTGAAAACAGAGAACATTTTATGATTCGTCATCTCCATGTAACCTAGCCATAGAAAAGATTACTAAGTACCTGTTGAATAGACATCCCTTCAATTTGACCTATAATGTGTTCTTCTTTCAGTGCTGACTCTACTGAACCATATAAAGAGGGATCCAGTTTGCTCACAGGTGGGAAAACCTATTAGAAAAAGTGACAAAATGAAAGAACATATAGAAACAAGTGGAAGAAAATATGTTAGTCATTGTCATAATTACCTTTAGCCTTTCAATACTTAGAGGGAAGGAAGTAAGCACTTGACGTCCAAGTTCATCATCTAGCAAGAAATGTGTTTCTTCCCCTGAAAATCATTCCACTTCATTTGCATAATTTATGTCTAAAATGAAACCACAACACAAATATATACTTCAACAAGGAGAAAATTTATTTGGTAATAGACAATGATACTCTTTAATTTCACTTACCTGAAAAAATTTTTGGAGGATCAAATTTAAAAAATTCTTCTATGGTGCCTCCCAAATTGAGCATAATCTGTGACAATGGTGGTGGTAGTGTGGCTAGCATTGCACCTCGACCAAGCTCAGACTTGGATTCAGATTCTTTAATAAAGTAATCAATGTTGAAAACTCCTTCACTGCCCATTATTTTATCTATTAACGCAGGCACAACATTCCTCAGCATTGACATCAATTTCCCTTGATCAATACTTTCTCGTTTTATGTCCTCTAATTCTTCATCTCTAGGAACGTATATTAACCCTGATTCACTCGGTCGTGACTCTGCCTTCTTATCTGTCCACGTTTTCATGTAAAGAGTTAACACTTATGTTCCTATCACTTTCATTTCTTGGTAGCTTTGTCCATGCTATGTTCCTTATTTCATGTCTAAGTCTAGGCTTTTTTCTGTGTTGGTAAATTCAACATGCTAATTAATTCCAAGACTGCTAGCTCCAACCACTTAAAACAAAATCATACATAATTTTGTCTGCAATCCTTACATTTAGGAAGGTGATAAGTTAATTTGTAAATTTAAATTATTAGGAATTTGTATCAAATTCCGTTAACCATTGTTCATCAATATTTAATAAAATGTATTAAATATTCTCCAATCACTTTAACAATAAATTTTAAATAGAATCTTACTAATTAGTATCTTTAAAAATTAAGAATTTTTTTTTATTAAAATCACGTTACAATTGCATTATTACATTTTTTTAAGTAATGGGACTAACGCAGAAAAAAATTATACAGAAGAAGAAACTATGCGGGGTATAGTAACTCCGGTCATATATTTTTTAATAAAAAAATTAGTTTAAATTTCTTAACTAAGTAAGTACTTTAACAACATTAATTAGCATTTATCTATTAAATAGTTTTATATTTGTAATATATTAAATATCTTTACAATGGTGGAGAAGACGATATATAACAAAATTGGAATTGTTTTCCCAGTAGTAGTACATGGCCAATTGAAATGGAAGAAAAGCTAACGATGGAAGTGATAAGCTAAAAATGAAACTGACCAGTGGTAGTAGGTGAACGTCCAGTGCGGCAACGTGTGGGATAAGGGTTGTATTGGCCACCCAGTGTTGGCCTTGCATATTCATTTCCCATATCTGGATCCCCCAAATCATTGTATACATCATAGTCATATATTCTATCACAATATTTCCTGCGTCCCTTTCCATCACCTCTTAATTGCATCAACTCCATCTCTCTTAGTTCTTTCAACCCATTTGGCGTTTCACAAGGTAGATAGACCTGATGTTTAACAATTTAGTTGCATTGTGAAACTAGGCCTAAGAGTATCATTAATGATTTGCAGTTTTATTATGAATGATATGATATCATGACAAAATGATCTCATATCACCTGTATGGAAGATTTTTTATAAATGATACCAATTCTTGGACTTGAAATGATTATAAGATTAACAAGTTAAGTTACTACGTATTAGGAATTATTACGGAGGTGTAAATGTTAATTTAATGTTACGACATGTGATTTTTTATTATTAGACTTGAAATGCTTTTTGTTATATTTGCATCGTAGCCCATTTTTTGTACCCATGTGGCTAGTTCAAGGCGAATGTGACATAAATGCAGTGCGGGAAGCATCTAATCTGTATCTTCAAGTATTTAAACTTTTTTGGTCGGTGAAGTATTTAACTATTTATTTATGCTGTAATGGGGAGATTTGAGAATAATTGACAACTGTTAACTGAATAAAAAAATACTAATAACATGTATAACTTCTGTTTTGTCTGTAAACCAAACAGGCTGGTGATTCTCTCTCTCTTTATGAAATCATGTTGTAGAGGATTCGAAAGATTTGATTATTTTTACAGTGGTTCCTTCATGTAATTGTTAAAATTTTAGTATATAGTTTTTTAATTTACAGATATAATTATATTTTATCATTAAAGTATTCCCAATATGTTTAAGGTTTCAACAAAAAAATTTAACACTTCCCATAACTTTGTGATGCAGCGTTATTATTTGACCTTTTGTTTAGATTATTTTAATGCTTCGCGCACAATAAATTATATATATCAAATACTTTTAAACTGATTAAAATTTAACAAGTACGTTTATAATGATACAAAACAAGAAATAATTCTCCAGCATAACCTATATAATCCTGTTATATTTTGCTGTACCAAAGATTTCTAGTGAATTTAATTTACCAATGTTAACATAATCATAGGCTGAATTTGTTAAAAAAACATTTTTTCAATATACATAAAATAATTTATCAAATTGATCCACTGGATCAACTAGCTCCTACCAGACCCATGTTGTTAACGTCTCTAATTTTGTTGATTGAGTACATGTTTGCTTCAACTTGTTAAAAAATATGTATATTTATTTATTAATTTTAGAAAAATAAAATAAAATAAAATCATTGTTTCTTAAAGAAAATCTAAACTAAATACGTTCTAAGTTGGGTAGGTGAGTTGCATGCTTATACCTTGTCAACGAAGAAAATTCTCTTTTCTGGGTAGAGCTGATTTGGTTGAACCCAAGACTTGCAACCAAAATGAACATTTTGTGCAGTTATGCTCTCGAGGAAGAACTCACTGTCGTAGCCATTAACGACGGTAACAGCTCCAGGAACCCCAAAATCTGATTCCACAGAGAAATCGACTTTATAGGTTCTGATTCCTCCCTCAGCTCCACATTTATGCTCTTCGGACAAATCCAAAACCGTTTCCTTGCTCAACTTTGCCTCCATACTCTCTTTCATTTAATATTACAGCATAAGAAGTTGAACATTGTTAGTTGTTATTAGGCACTTAAAACAATAGTTGTTAGTCACGCAGCTCCAAAACCATGGATGTTACAAATCCAGTAATCATTCAATTTAGTGCATCAACTTTTTTACCTGACTTTGTAATTGAGAGTGTATCCTCTTTTGGTCCTAAATCCAACAAAAGTTGGGCACACATGAAAATTAACATGATAAACTTTTGATAATTCAAATGCAGTCAATAAAAAAGTTAAAGGATTAGATTGATTATTTACTCCTTTTAAGTACAAAAAACAAATAAAAGGGATGGGTTTTACTTGTCAGCAAGAAGTTTAATTTATTTTACTTTCTTATTTTTATTTTCTGCAGAAGTTAATACAAATTGAGCCTAAATCGATACTTTGATACTTTCTGAAGAACTCGTTCATTATAGATGAAATGAATCAGTTGGCAAAAATAAAAAGAATGAATTAGAGACATACTGGGATGAAGCCGTGAGCTAACAAGCTGCAGAACAACACCATTTCGCTGGTTTTGAGGCCTGAAAATGCTTAGGAGGTTTTTCAGCATATCGTTTGGAAATACCTTGTTATTGCTTCTAATGACAACTAGCGCAGTGAGCTTCATGGTAGTGGGCTTGTGAGAGATGGCCTCATCCTCAACGAGAGCTGCCACTGTTGGTGCGATAATTTGCTTCCCCTTCTTCCTTATCCTCACTCTAAATCTCATGTTACCCCTCCTACTTGTTGATGGATACACTAATCTGAATCTCTGATTCTCAATGGAATGGGTGAGACTCAAATGAACTTTGTTATGCAGGTTGCAAGAATCCATGATCATCACACTCTTCGTCCCAGCCATTTCTTTTTGTTGTTCTCTACAATTCTGTTAAAAGATTGTTTGGGAAGGGGTTTTGTTTAGAGGGAAGGGTGAGCATAAATTTATATTTTAAATAAATATATTTAAAAATAATATTTTTAAAAAATAAAAAATATAAATTAATATATTAATATTATATTTGTTATTAAAAATAATATATATTTTTAATTTGAAATTAAAAAATATGTTTTTTTAAAAAAATTATTCTAAATATAATTTAAAACTATATTTAAGAGTTGTTTTTAGGAAGATTTGAGTTAAAAAATTTTAATACTTATTTATGAATTATTTAATTAGTAAAAAGTAAATTTGAAAGCTTTTTTAAAGAATTTTTTTTAATGTTAGTTTTTTAAGTAAAATTTTTTAAAATTACAAAAAATAAAAATATATTTTAAATTATTAATTTTTAAAAAAATATTAATTTTTTTTAAAAAAATTAAAAATATAAATAAAAAATTAAAAATATAATAATATTATTTATATAATTAAATTGTGAATACTCTTTCTTTTCAATATTAAACATTCAACTAAAAAAAAATTAACTTAATTTAATCATAAGCTTAATTAATTCATATTTAATAACATTTAAATGCAGCTGAATAAATATATTTAAAATTAATATTTTTAAAAATAAAAAATGTAAATTAATATATTAATATTATATTTGTCAGTAAAAATAATATATAATTTTTTAATTTAAAATTAAAAAATATATTTTTATTTTTATTTTTCAAAAACTTTATTCTAAACATATTTTGAAACTATATTTAAGAGTTGTGTTTAGAAAAACACGAGTTAAAAAAGTTTAATATTTATTTAAGAGTTACTTAATTAATAAAAAATAAGTTTAAAAATTATTTTAAAGAATTTTTTAGAATTTTTTCTTCTCTCATTTTCTCTCTTACTCTTTTACAATTAAAATTTTAATTTTTTTTAATGTTAAATTTTTAAATAATCTTTTTTTAAAATTATAAAAAATAAAAATATATTTTAAATTATTATTTTTTAAAAAATATTAAATTTTTTATTTTTTAAAAAATTAAAAATATAAAATATAATAATATTATTTATATAATTAAATCATCATTATTTTCTTCTCTCAATATTAAATATTCAACTTAAAAAAAGAGTTTAACCTGCCTCAATCATAAGCTTAATTAATTCATATTTAATAACATTTAAATTCAGAGACTATTATTTGAGTTACAGTTGAGAATCGATTCTCATTTATTGAGTTTCAAATGACGTTCTAGTGCAATTTTTCCCAAAAGAAAATTTTCTTTCATTCATAAACATCCATTTTCGAAGTAAATAAAAAAGGTTTTAATAAAAATAATCACAATTACGAAAAACTCCTTTTAAAAGCTGAAAAAAATTGTCGTTTACAAAGTAAAATATTAAACCACAAACACGTGTAGTAATTCTTTATATTATCTTAGCCCCAAGTGTCGATTTCTCTATGTGAACACTCATATATGTATGAAATATAATTTAATTTACAATCACGTGCATAAAATAAGGTTTTGTTTTAAAAAATGTGTTACTTTAATAATCTCTATACATTAAACATATGTAAAGCATTATCAGCTACGAGTCAGGATACATTTGTTTTTTTTTTAAGACTTCGAGTCTCAACTCCCCCAAATGGTCAACTTAAACCACGCTTTAATAGTGAAAGGTAAGCAACCTCCTTTATAAATATATGCAATAATGACATTTGTGAACATCATGATTAAATATGCGTATTGAGATTCAATGAATTATATGAACAACTAATTTTTATTATACACATAAAACAATTATTAATTCTTAATTTGCATGCCACTGAATTATATTTCAATTTATACCCTAAAAAAGTACATAACTGCTTCCACTAAATCTTTATAGTTGAATAATTGAAAGTGTTTAGACTTTTTAATTTAGAATATAATTTTTTTGCAAAGTAAATATTTATATTAATATTTAGATGAGTTTAATTTTAATGTAATTTTTTTATATTATTTAGTAAATATGACTTTTAAATTAATTAATAAAAAACTAATTATTTACACTATGATAATTCAAAATTAAATGATAGTATAAACAAATATTTACACTATCACTATATTCTAATTAAAATTTATTTATATGTCATTATAATGTTTTATAAACTTTTTATTTATGTGAGATGCAAACATTACTGATATAAAAATTACAAAAATATAATTAAAATTGTTTTAAAAAAAGATTAAAGTAATTATGAATTATTTTTTTAAGTAGTCAACATGACATAACAACTCAAAAACATAACTAACTCAATTTTAGAAGTCTAAATATAAAAAATATCTAAACTTAAATAAAAGTGTAAAAGATGAAAGCTTAATTAATCAAGACTGGTATAAGACATAAAATTCTCAAAACCTATTCTAACTAACTTATTAGCATATTAATTTGTCTCTCTATAGATATAAACAAATGAAATAAAGAATAAAAATAATCTTAAATATTTAAAATGAAAGAAAATTAATCCTTAGAGTAAATCTCAATCCAAACATAATAGTACCTTTTTATATAATTAAGTTAACTCTTAATATTAGAGTTTAGCTTCTAAAGGAGAGAAAAAATTGTATTTACTAATGAAACCAATAATAAACTGACCTTTATCATCATAAAACAATCCTTCACAAGCATCAGTCTTATTGGTAGAGAAAGAATAACTATTTACATTCAACTTAACTTGTCTATGATTACAAGGCACTCATTTGACATATAATAAGTCTTAGAGAGATTCTTGGAATCCCTAAAATATTCCTAAAATAGTATCCAATATAATCATTATAAAAAAATTTATTTAAACAAGCAATTGATGTTGAATAGAAGACTGTTGAATCTAGAAACATTTTCTATCTTTCCATAAATAATAAACAATCACCTCAAAAACTCTATTCTAGTCAAGAAAATTATTTGGTGCTAATCATTCAAATTATAGAATGATTATTCCAAAAAACTAGAACTAAAAAAGCAAACTTATTAATTAGGCAAAATAAAGTGGTTCCAAATATTTTTAGCATAAAACAATATCTTAGAACATGAATAACAATTCCAGAAATATCACTACACCTAGAACATATGTCAAAATCATCCATTCCTCTATGATAAGTGCCTAATTTGAGTTATTGTTTGCACCAATTTGAGTACTTAATTGCTCCAAAGTTATGAATTTGAATGTCCATTCCCTCTTTAATCGTAGAAATTCAAGTTAGTTAGTCTAGTTAATTTTACAATTGGGATAGAGATTCATTCTTACTCCCTTTCTACTTAACTTTTGATCTTTAGGAGCTTATTTTCAAGTGGAAGGCATATGACAGTCAAATCAATTCTCGCTCAAGCAAGGTATTTTTGCTTGAGCAAGAATACGCAAACTAGAACAAAGCCTTTGCCTTGTTTTTGCTCAAGCGAGACACCTTAGCTTAAGCGAGAATGCCTTTTTCGCTCAAGCGAGAAAGTTTCACTTGAGCGAAAATTCATTTATTCCAATTTAAACAAGGAGAATCAAAGGGAGAAGGAGACGAACATATTGGGAAAACACAACATAGAGAAGAGATTTAGGGCAAAGAAGATTGAGGAACCAACCATCTTATTTCTTTTCTCTTTTCATTGCTTTGTAATAGCTATCATGAGCAGCTAGAACCCTTGTGAAATTGGATGTAATCTTCTACTCTGAATTATTTTGATGGCTTATTTATGATATTTTCTTCTCTTTATATAAATGTTGGTGGTTCTATTGGTTTTTAATGATTGGTTATATTTTATGAAATAGTCTTTTGACTTAGGATTTATGGTTAGTTGGAAAACAAATTTTAAACTCAGATTCAATGGAATTCACTCGATGTGTTGTGATTTTAGGGATAGGGTCCAATATATTGATTGCTTATTAACTCTTGTAATTAATGCATGGAAGATTGGTTGAATAATTGAGAAATCATTGTTCATTTAATGCTTTTAGGAACTCTATATGGAGGAATCAATATAAGGAACTGTATGGAGGAATAGATATAAGGAACTGTGAGAAAGTGCATCTACATTTATATACTAGTATTTACATGTTTGGTCATCAAAATATGGAAGGGAAAGAATGATGAAATCTAATCCTCACTTAATTCATAACTTTTTATCCACCAAACTTTTACTTTGTTTTCTATTTAATGGCACTTCTCATTCATAAATAAATTGTAAATATTTACTTGTTTTTAATTTAGAATTTTAAAAAGGATATTAGAAGTTCTTGATATTCTATCAATCTCTATAGATACGACAAACCCTTTTATATTACATCAAAAACTTGGTACATTTGCCAAATCCTTAACACTCCCATATTTCTCATCATTGGTTAATGATTTACCATAAAAAAAAATTTCAAAGAAACAAAATAATTTTTTTTTGGGTGCGGGGTTTTCTCATTTCTAAACCATTTTAAAGATATCATTGAGAGTAGGACAAATAACATTGGGATTAGTAATTGATTGATAAGCATATTTAATAGAAAAATATCACTAACGATTTCCAAAAAATAGAATCATGTTTATTAGGACTAAGATTATGATACAAAATTTTAAAATAATTAAGAGCAAACAATTTAATTTTAGCAAGATCACGCTTTCAACTATCACTTTAGATCTTTCAAGGCTTCAATTATATTTTCTGCCTATGAACATAATAACTTTATGAAAATAATTTAGTATTCTTATTCCTGAAGGTTATCCATTTAGCCTTAAAGTCATGATACCAATTACCTCCAATCTATTTAAAATCATATTTTCCTTAGAAAATATATTACCAAATGTGTACATATTCTAGTAAGATATATTATATCTAAGTCTGATTATCATGTTTTTAGTCTAAGAGTTAGTGCTTAACTGATAACTTTTACCTTGATTATGAAAGTTACTATGTGTAATTTAGAGAGCAAAAAATTTAAAGAGTTTATCATACCTACAAGAATTACTTTATTTCAAATTTTAAGGCATAAAATACCATAATCAAATTTTAAAATAGAAATATAAATTATAAGGTGCTTGTTACGATATTTATAAACTTGAAAGAGTATTCTATTTTTTTTCTAAATTAACGATTATGATTCTTTTAATATCTTAAAGAATAGATGGTATTAATGTCTTTTTTAACTAAATCACTAACCCTACTATCTATTAGCATAAAAGTAATAGTGACGATTATTTCGTGTGTAAAATAAGGCATCAAACTCTCTTGATTATAAAAGGTACAATAAATTTTACTAAATTATAATCATTTTGGAAAGAGAGCATCCAAGATTCATTTGTTACAACCATATCAAGCACTTTCCTAAGATTACTCATATATTAAGTAAAAGGATTTCCTTCAAATTCCTAGTCTCACAAAGATTCAAATACAGCAAATTCCCCAATAAATTTATAATTATTAGGACCTCTTTTTTCAAAATATGACAAAATTTAATTAAAGTCTCAAGTCACACAATAGATTATTTATGGAGTTATAAAACTTAATTAAATCTTTCCAACATATAATTATAGAACAATCTTGAGTAAAAACATATATTGAAGACAAGACCTACTCATCTTGACTAGCTTTGTTGATTTTCAAATGAGTAACACATTTGATTTTCAAGAGGAAACCCTTAATTTTATTAGAATTCCAAGGAGGTCAAATCCCTCTTGAAAACATTATGATATTTACTTTCTCGGTCTCATCTAAATTAATTTTTCTAATTATACTATCATTTCTCTCTTTATTTATCCTAAATTCATAAAGAATAATGCAATCAAGACTATACATAAAGATCAAATTATTAACTAATTTATAAGGTTCTTCTATTTTGTTATCTTAACATCTCATTAGAAGTGTATTAAAAAAGTAAAGTCTTAACTTGACTTCATGTGACTGAGAAGGTGAAGGAGTTCTCTTATAAATGTAAGAATTTAATGTTTATGGTACTATTTTTCTCCTAAAATTAGTGTAAAGTTTCAGTTTATTTTATTTTCTTATTAAAGTATTTCAAGAAATAATTTCAAAATCAAAACATCATCAGTTTATAATAATTTGATATTGGTAATTTTTACGTTAATTTATAAATTACAAAATCATTTTATATTCTTTCACGTATAAAATAATTATCGCTGTTAATTTTAGTAAATTAATAATTATTTAAAAAACTATAAATATTTTTTAATCACTAAAATATTAAAGAGACAAGACATCCAATGCCGTTAGTCCGATACGCCCTTACTTCTTAAAAGTATTTGCTAGTGGGCTTGTTCCATTCATGGGTCGGTGGGCTTAGGCCCATGAGTTGTGGTGTGAGCGGAGGAGCAAGTAGCGCGCGTGAGGGTGGAGGAAAACCTAGTTGTGGCTACTCAGAACAGCAGCATCCATGGCCAGTAGGAGGTGCCTCCAACTGCGACCGTTAACGACCTTTCTCTTCTCTAACCCATCATCTCTCCGATCACTCTTTGTTCCCCCTTTTCCCAACTCCAACTCTTCATCACCTCTTCTTCCCTTTTTCACCATTTCCAATCCCACCTCTGCTTTTCCACAATGCCCCCAGCTACGATATTTCTCTTCCGACAACCACCAAGACCATAGCGAGGAAGAATATGATGATGATGATGATGACGACGACGACGACGTCGATGATGAAGATGACGACCATATTCACGTGTCGAGTGGGAAGAAGGCCTATACGAAGGAGGAGATGGAAGCAGAAGCGGCGGCTATTGGCTACAAAGTGGCGGGGCCCCTTCTAAAGGATGATGATCGGGTTTTTAAGCCCTACGAGCCTGTTTTTGCTGTTGTTCAGGTTTTCATTTTCAAACTTTCTGTGATTTTCTGTATGTGTTTTATTTTATTTTTTCCATTTTAGTAACCGTGTGTTTTTATTGTTTAGATTGGTTCGCACCAGTTTAAAGTAAGCAATGGGGACAGCATTTTCACTGAAAGATTGAAGTTTTGCGAAGTGAATGATAAGGTGACTCACCCTTTTGCTTGTGTGTAATGTGAGCATGAATGACGTTTGTTCTGGGTGCTTATGGATCTATATTGGTTTGAATTTGGGCTTTGTTGGGGTTGCATGACCAGCTCCAAAGGCTAAAGTAGAGGCTGGTTTGTAATCACGAGATAAACAAGTCCAGGATCAAGGGCTCTGTTGGGGTCGACATGACAAGCTCCTCTATAATTCACTAAAAAGCAATACATTAGAAGTATGCACTACTAACATAACGATATTAAATCTTGGCATAATCAGTGGGCTTGAAGGGCATAATCTTATTAAGCAAATCATGCTCAACCAAGTGACTCGCTTGCGCCATGTTTCCAAACATGGCATCGGGCGTTGGCCTTGAGGTAAAAGCAAAGCACGCTACATCCTCCAAAATGCTAACTAAAGTGTTGGCAGAAGTTAACACAACATCGGCACCAACAAAATGTGCTGTAATGTTTGGGGCCTGAATTGCATTTAGTGTAGCCTTATAACAAAGACTTAACATTTGGTAACTATCACGTTCTAAATTGATATGTGATGTCACTGCTGACTTCAATTTTTCATAAAATTCCACAGGAAAAAAGGTCAATGTTGTTCCTGAGTCAATTATAATGTTACACCCTGTATTTTTTGAAGTTGAATCACATTCACAATATTGTTTCTCATCTTATGATCTAACTTTTTGGGTTGAGTTAGGCTTAAAGCCTAAATTCAACAATATATTTCCCTCCTTTGCATGATTCTTTGAAGTGATCCTCATTTAAAGAAGGGCTATTGCTCGCGTTTGCATTAGGAATGGCAGTCTCTTTAAATTTTTAAAAATAGTTTTATTTGAACAGTTTTTATGTTAAACTTTTGGACCTACTGCTGTTGGATTATTTTGGCAGGGGAGGGGCTACTTGCTGCTTACTCCACACCTTGTGGGAAAAGGCTTGTGTTATTGTTTTTCGTACAGCTGCTTCTTACCATTTTGATTGTTCTACAAACTACTTTGTTCGCCTAGTTCTAGATACCCTATGTAATTGCCGTATGTTTATATAAGTGTGAGTGTAACAGCAAACTTACTAAATAATAATATGTGGCTTGTTTTCTTTGTATTAATTATTTGCTATTTCTTTGTTTTGGAGTCTTTCATTGAAGTTAATTGAATATTATTCCATTGCAGTTGATCTTGAACAAAGTTCTGTTGCTTGGCTCTGCAAGTCAGACAATTGTTGGCAGACCCATAGTGCCAGATGCAACTGTTCATGCTGTTGTTGAGGAGCATGTAAGTGTAGAACTTCTCATATCACTTATGCAGAATCAGCTTTCTTATTATGGGAGTAGGAATAGAATAGGTTTGCATAGAACAATCTCTTCCCTTTCAGTTTTGGTTGCACCTAGGCTGCTGTTGCTGTTCTTTCCATTCATATGTTTCCAATCATAATGTAATGGAATTAGAATTGTGACTAAATGACAGACTTTCTTCTTGGTGACAAAATTAACTGAAGTATATAATGCATATAATTTATGTATTTGCACACAATTTTGCTCGAATAATATGGTCATATATAATCTGTAAATGTGTAAAGTAAACCTAACCAAAAACTGTTGTTTGCATTTTGCAATAATTTTTTCTATGTCAAAGGGTTTTGTCATTGAAATATAGAGATGAATTTAAATAAAAGGCACAAGTTAAAGTGTTCCCTTCAGCATTCTTTGCTTTTCCTGCCAAAATATAGATAAAATGTTATTTCCAAATTAGCAAAGTTCAAAAAAAGGAGTGGTGGCTCAAAACACGGCAAAAGACAGTAGAACAACCAAATTTAGATAAAGTTTAACTAACCTTGTAAGCCCCAAACCAAAGTTACCCAACATATCTTCCACAATCCTGTATGGTGTGCTGTAACCTGTAATGCCATGACCTATTGAAGGATTAAATTTCTGGAGATATAAAGAAAATGAAAGATTCATGATTTATCATGGTAGAACAATACAAGGGGAAAGCAAGTTATTTATGTTATATGGAAGACATGAATAGGTAGAGACAGTAGACTTAAGCAAAAATGAAGGATAATTGACTTACCAGCTGTAAATGTATAGGTCAAAGTCCATTATTTTCCTATTCACTTTGTTTTGCTGTTGTCCCGTTAGTTGTTCTCCTCTTACTGTCCTCTTCTCTCTCTCTTTTTTTTTTCCTTCTTTTTTTATGTTTTTTTATTGCTTTCAGTTTCTGGGTATTTTGTGTTTTTTTTTTTAAATCTCCTTATCCAGTTCTAGTTTTATTTGGTCTTTAATGTTTTGTTACTTCAAGGCATTGAGTTAGAGGCTTAAGCTTGTTTATTTTCTTGACTCAACTTGTTTATTTCCTTGACTCCCACAACAGTGTTTTTGGAGTCAGCCAATGTGTGCTGCTATCCGAGATTGATAACTGATTTCTTCCTCCATTTCAAATAATAAGCCCATTCAGAGATATAGGTCAAGCATGTTGTTGGGAAGGAAATAATTGAGGTTTAGTAGTTCAGGTCTTTTCAATGGAATCCAGCAATGCAAATCCAGAGAGAAACCCCATTATTTTGTAGTCCCAGAATCATGTTGAACTTTTCACTTGGACCGATTAAAGAGAGAACAGAGGGAGGCAGGAAGTCGACCCCCATGATGGGAGTTCCCATTGGAACCAGTCAAGTGGTTAGTTCATCAGTTTTCTAGGTGGCCTAACCTTTATAAATGAAGTTCATTTTAACCAGGCAACTGACCTTTTCTAAAGCATTCCTTAAACTGAACTCTGAAACACAACTGTTATTTGTAAAAATCAAAAGTCATCTCATTCTTGTGAATTGGATTTTAAAATGTTAGAGTAATGCTGCTCATAATGCATTCCAATGTCATCATCTATGTGCATCTCTCCTGCTTCCTGCTGCCCCTCCCCTTTGACTGTTCCTCTTTTATCTGCATCCGGGCATTATAATTGTCCTGTTTCTAAGAGCTTTTGATTTTTGTGTGATGCAAGGATGAAAATTTAGTGTTTTTTCTTATCACCTTATATTTGTTTTTCCATCTATACACTTGCCTGCGTGCTCATTTTTCCTTTTATATCAGGCACTAGATGCTAAGGTTATTATTTTTAAGAAAAAGAGAAGGAAGAATTACAGAAGAACCAAAGGGCACCGCCAGGTGAGTTGGAAAGCATTATTTAATTAGATGTAGTTTCATAACTAATTATTGATACTAATTCTGTTTGATGCATGGTCACCACCTTCAGGAGCTGACCAAGTTAAGGGTAACTGATATTCAAGGAATTGAGAAGCCTGACAATGTATTGCCTGAAAAGCCTTCTTTAAAAACTGCTAAGAAAGAACAGAAAAAGGCTGCAGTCACAGCTTAAAAAGGGTATTCCTACCACCTTGGCCATCAACAGTAATTGCTCTGTATGTCACAAGGGAGTTTTGACAATTGGGATGGCTTGTAGTGAGGATGACGATATTACTGATAAGCTCCATTTTACATCTGCAAATGCATGTGAGGTGGAAATAGTCACCATCCGCTTGGTAGTGAGGTTGAGGTTTTTTAGGATTGATTACACAATTTTTCTTTTCTCTTTGTAATGCAATGTTTAGTGGTTCGATGTTTGAACGTAAATCCATCGATTCTTAAACTGGTTTCAAGGTGTCAAGAAATTTAATAATGAAACGACTCTTTGTATTCTATTGTTAATTAAAAAGGTGATACTATTTAATGCGTTTTACTGATTTCTGACTGAAATAAAGCATGGAAATTCGTCTTTCAGATCCTGTGCTAGGAAAAGCACAAGTCCAGGAGAATAAGGACCCCGAAGTGATTTGTACATGGCAAACTGGGGGGTTAAGATTCGATTGAAGACGACAAATAAAAATTCGAACTTGACTTGCAAACAATTTATGGTGTTGAAATCTTTTACTTTTGCTTAAAGGATTGGAAAACATTTCTCTTGGGCCCAAAAAGCTTAACTTTTGTCTCTTGGGAGATTTGCTTGATCCTTCAACCAGGCTACTTTTCCCATCTCAGTAGGGGACCTATGGTTCCTTTGTAATAACCCGTTTCTACTAGGATATATACAACATGAAAAGCCCTTCACAGTTGGATAAGATATTGCTCTCAGCATTTGAATAAAATTTGCCAGAATATTGATATGAATTGATTGGTGATACAATTAGTTACCCTTTGGTTTGGAAGTGTTAATTTTCTGACCCCACAGGCTGAATAACCAGTTTTGTCAGATTACATGTATGCATACAAGAGAAATTTCCGATTCAGTAATATCATTTAACAGAGTTTTTAATAAGTTTAGATAAATTTCTTAATAAACATTTGCACGAAGAAAAGAAAATCAATTTAAAAGTTAATATAAATTAAACTTCTCATATAAGTTAAAGCAAACTTATGCACTTCAATTTTTTAAAATCTCTCATTTATCTTTATAAATAGCTAAAACTGAATAAAATTTAGCATTTTCACTTTTAAAAAAATTAGCTGTGAGGTTTTACAATATAAAAAAGCTTCCATTACCATTAGCTATAATCTAATATAAACTTAGGTGGTAAACCAAAATGCTTTACTCATGTGGTTGGGTAAGAAGAAGAGAACATCATGGACTACTTTTATGAATGGTGAATCTGGTAGGATAATACTGTTTCGGGAGGCCATGAATGAAATTACGAATCTTAGAAAATAAATCTCTTTCATTGATAGCCACCCCTTTACTGGAAAAAAGATGAAACTTGTCAATTGTCATTGTCCATTATAAGTTATGCCCAAACTCGGGACTAATACCCAACTTTGGATAGAGACAATGACTGAGTAAACGTTTTCCACAATTTCCTATTGACAACACCTATCCACTGCTGACAGCTAGTTCCCTCTACTCAAATACTTGATTATTGCTGAGAGTAGTGCAAAAGGAAATGTGCATACATGTCTCTTCGCCCGTGGTTGACCTTGGACTTGATTATTCTGGGCTGTTTCACGTGTCCATGACACCATTCTTTTCCTCTAGATTGGTAGACCCCATAAACCCAAAACTATGTTAAGGCTTTCCCATCATGAAAGCCATGTTAAGCCCGGAAGGAATAATATTTAAATTAGTGACTATGCTCGGCATGGACCACTCTCCCACACAGACACAAACACAAACAAACCCACGATCATCAATTTAATAAAAAAATATGAGGATAATGTGCCAATATAAAGCTGGGCTTGTTCTTAACAACTTTGTGAAATATTCTTATTATAATCTTTTATTAAGTATGAGAAATTCACACGGATCTCGCTTTTAATTTGAAATTTTTTTTCTCATCCTTTTATTGGAATGTATGTTTGCCAAAATGTTGAGAAAAACTATGATCGGTGAAATTGAAAGTAAAGATGTTATTATAGTCTATAGAACAAGTAGAGGTCAACGAATTGTTTTAAAAACTTTATATTAATTTTGAAAATATTAAAATCAAAATGTCGTTGTTATAGAATTTTCTCTTCCATTCACAATTCCAACTCGGGGGTAACTTTTGGGTGTTGTGTGGGTCGTTGCAAGGGTTAAAGAGAATAAGAAGTGGGAGAATATCTCCTTCCATGGAACAAAGTGGTTCTAAGTGGACTCACTTTCTTTGTCACCTCTCAATACCTCTTAGCTACATACAAGGAGTTGGTAATTTGTAGAGCACTTTCGCCGCTTCCACTTTCGTTTAAAATATGCTAATAAATTATTTGTTGCAACAGCTGCTCCACTTCTTGCCACTGTATATAATATTTAAAACAATAATTCTAATTCCTTTTGTCTTGCATATCTATAAATCTTTTTAATTATTAATTGTTTTATAATTTTAAGATAATAAATATATATATGATTTAATATCTACTTTATAAAATAATAATCAAATTATTAAAAAAATAAATAAGAACACTTGAAACATTTGAGAAGGCTATAAAAATTGGCCGTTACCTGACTTTCTGTTACAATTAGTTGTGGCGGCGATGAACCTGCTGTTACATGTGACCATTATTTTGTTTTCAAGGTTTTTTTTAAATATGATAAAAATAAAAAAATTACTAAAATATAATATTTATAAATTATTTTTTAAATTATTATTTAACACGTCACTTTAAGTGTTTCGGAACAAACTAAAAAAGAATCTAATATGATACGATATGATAATAAAATAAAAATAAAAATAAAGATTCGTTAGAATATTATAAGATAACAAAATAATATTATTTAGTTATATATTGATAGCAAAAATTATCTTAAATTGTTTATAAGAATACATATTAAGTTTTATATCAAAATAAGATATACAAATTTTCAATAGACTAATAGATTCTATGAAATCTCAAAAAAATCAGGCGATTCTATTATTCATTAAAATATATATATATATATATATATATATATATATATATTATTTGAATCGTTTCATTTGCGAGGAGCCGTATAAAATGAAAAATTTCATGTACAATTATGTAATAGAGATGGAATTGAGAAACAACCATCAACTAAAACTCCAAAAGAACAAAATTTTGTAAACAACGTAGAGGAAGAATGAAAGGAATATCCTATCGAGGTAATAATATTTGCTTTAGAAAATATGCTTTTTTTTAATAATAAAAAATAAATAGTATTCATATAAAAACTGACACTTGTTTTTTTTAGAAATTAAAGTTTAACCTTGACACTTATCTTTAAATACTTTGTTTTTAGTGTGATAACATGAATTTATAATAAATTTTATTTTTTAACAATAAGAAATAAATATTAGTCATTGTATAAAAAAATAATGTTAAATTTTACATAAACAAAAAAAAGTGATATTTAAATTAATGTGTCAAAAAATACAAATTTTTTTATACTCTTTTGATAATTGTTTTTTTATTTTTACCGTATTTTTTTTTTAAAAAAAAACTCTTATTTTCACTGTGCAGCATCCACAGACATCTTTTGCTTTTAAATTGGACGGTAGATGGTGGATTTTGATTAGACTTGTGTAAATAGACCTTTCCTAAAGAAAGGTTTTCATTTTAATCAACAGGTGAGAGAGAGAGAGGAAAACATCTATTCTATAAATACTTTTCTTACACGGTGACACATCAAAATAAATTTAACAGTGAAACTACAGGTTCTTTTAAAACACTAAAAATATCTTTCGATCACTGTTAAAGACTAATTTCTTAGATATAAAGATCATTAATGTATTTTTTTATAATTGTTTATACACATAATAAAATATTAAATTTAATCAATATATTTGTGGGATACAATTATCTACTAATAATGTTGATTTTCATTTTATAGACAATTTCATCTAGATATCAATAAATTTAGGTTCTCAAAGTGATGTGATATTTATTTATTGTCTCTACGGAGCATTCAACAATTTAGTAATAGGCACTATTTCAATTTTCATCACAAATCGGCATGGTGGAGTACTTGAAATTGATTTTCTATCCCTTTATATATAGTTTATGTTTTGTTGAAGAAAAATTATACGTTGATAGCTACTTTCTCAGTGTGAAGTGAGTAGAGAAAAGAGAGAAATAAAAAGAACAATAATTAAAAAAAAAGTGATTACTAATGTAATAAAAAACAAATATACGAGAAAATAAATAAAGAAAAAGTGAGAAGCAATTAAGAAAATAAAAAGAAAAACTTCACACGTATAAATTTAACATACTGAATAAATCTATATTAACTGCTTGGTTAAATATGAAAGTGTTTGCTAAAGTATTTCTAAATTTGAAAATATATTAAATATTTTTTCTAGATTATACTAAGATATTAAAAGATATTTATATTTTTTTAAAATATATCACTAACTCTACTAATAAAATTAATGGTTATAATATTCAAAGATATTTATACTCTCTGATTTTTCAGAGTACAGTCAAATTTATCAAACGTGAAAACTGAGTTTACACAGTTTTTTAAATAAAAAATTACATTGCAATCATATTTTTTTCAAAGAATTTTTTGGCTATATAAAAATTACATTGCAAAGACGTATTTCTTGAGTTCTTTTTTTAGTTTGAACGTATTAAGATATTTTAAACAAAATATCATTTAGTTATTAATTTATAGTTGGGATAGATTAAGGACAGACTAATTTATTTCAACCTTTAGGATTTATAATTTTGTAGAGGTTCGTTTGCATCACATATATGGATAAAGTAAAAAAAAAAAACAATGTTACCTTTTAAATATGTAAATTTATTCATAGAATATACTTTTTAAATGATAAATAAATTTGTTGGCGGTTTGGGAACTCTTTTTCCATGTGGTTTCTATATACTTTTTTCTATTTATTGTTTTAGATGGTGAAACTTATAGAAACAATAATTATTAATAAACATGATAGATTTCCATGTTAAATTTAACAATTTTACATGCATAAAATTACATATGGTGAAAAAAAACAAAAAAACCTCGTGTTGGTTGATTGCCAATGTGCTATTATAATTGCGTTGATCCAAAATATATATCACCTCATGTGAAAATTTTATATAAATTATTTTATAAATATAACTAATTTTAAATTAATAATTTTTTTTTTACTTTCTCATTTTACATAGTTTTAGTCTACAAAGTCAAATCCAATATAATTATATTGGAAAATTTGTATTTTTTTTAATGCTAGACATTAAATAAATATTGAAAAAATATTAAAAATAAAGATAAATATAAAATATTCACATGATAAAATTATAGGAAGAATCCAT